CTCTCTCTCTCTCTCTCTCTCTCTCTCTCTCTCTCTCTCTCTCTCTCTCTCCCTCTGTGTGTGTGTGTGTGTGTGTGTGTTTAGTTTTTTGTTTAGATTTGTTTGTTTTAAATCGCCTTTTAAATTGCTTTCTCTTTTTTTTTCAGAAAGAGAAAAAAGGTGTATAGTTGGGTGAGTTGGTAGATATGAAGGATCTAGAATAAGTTGTGGATGAAGGATTGATTTATTAGAATACATTGTGTGAACTTTTTTCAAAAACTATACAAAGCAAGTAAAAACAAGTGAAGATAAGTCTGTGAAGTGTTTAACATAGAATCTTTACTGGTTTTGAGCATGTTGATATCATATGTCAGTCAAAGAAGGACAGATCAGGTAATATACTTAAGAGAGGAAACCATAGAGGACACAGAGTCCCATTAACACACAGCTCATCTGTCTATGTTGATTTATTGGCCTCATGGTGACCCCTGCTGGTCATGAGCTCCTATGTATGTAGGTTTGTCATGGGTTAGCCTGAAGTTACACAGTCTGGCTTAAGAAATACTTTCACCCTGTAACTCCAGTGTTCACAGAGCTTAGCTTAAGGAATAGTTGGCTCTAGTTTACCTAGGGATAATGATTTATGTATCAGAGATTATAGGTTTTTCCACTATAACTATGATAACCCTCTCAGAGACAGATTCTGCCTTGGTGGCAGTTCCATCCAGCTCTACCAGTTCCCATTTCTAAAATGGTAATGACAGGAGATAACAGGCTCTTTCCTGACTTCATGAGGCTACACCCGGGGCAGAGCACCTGTGTTCAGAGGGTAAATCACTCACCCTACACTGTTTAATAGATCCACTAAAAAGATGTACACAATAATTGTAAATAAGAGTTAGACTATTGATATAACTAGGAAAATGTTGAAGTAGCTCAGGACCTGTCTGATCCTTAGAAGCTCAAACAGTTTTGAACCTAGTGCTGAAGTAGGCCTTCGTAAACAAGAATGGATAATTAGTAGAAACTCTGCTTAGGGAAAATGAAAAGGACAAACCAGACAAAAGGTCTGAATCATAGAGCTCTTCGGTGAGAATCATTCCATAATTTCAGGGACTCTCAGGAACTGAGACACCAACCAAAAAGCATACATGGACTGGACCAAGGCCCCTACCACATGTATAGCAAATTGGTAGCTCAATCTTTATATAGGTCCCCCAAAAACAGGAGTGAGGATTGTCCCTAAACGTGCTTCCAGTCTTGGAATCCATTCTCATAACTGGATGTTAGGCCCTCATTTGTGCCTTGTGGACAAACCCAAGCCTGGCTTGTGTTTCTGCGGCCTTGTAAGACAGCCTAAGTCTGGCTCAAGTTTTGAGACCTGTCTCTGTCACTTATGTACCAAGGTGACTCAGGAAGTCCTGTTTGGCCCTGCCTCTAACTCACTGTTGCTGATGTAGAGCTTTGCCATTGGCCCTGTCAGTCACCCCATACCCTCCATCACACTTCCCTTCCCCCATGTCATCTCACCCCACCAAAACTCCTCCTCCCTAAGCTCCTAGTTTATGTAAGAGAGAGGCTGATACATTAAAGTTGAGTTCTTGCTTAGATAAGACTCCCAGCAGGGTGTGTTTCTTTGGGCTGCCAACAGTTACCATCCTGCTCAGCTTGAGAGACCCAGCAGGACCAGGACCTCTCTTTCTTCTTGCCTGGACCTGCAGGCTTTAAAAAGCTAACAACTGGACTTCCTTGTCTGGCCTCAGTTGGAGATGATGAGCCTAGAACTGCAGAGCCTTGATGGGCCAGGTTTGGAGGATATCCAATAGGACACCTACCCTGTCAGGGTAGTAGAAGAAAGGGAGTAGAAGGAGGGACTTGTTTATGTGAGACCAGAGGAGAGGGCAGCAATTGGGATGTAAAAATCAATAAATCAGTCAATCACTCACTCACTCACTCACTCAATCAATCAATCAATCAATTCCCTCTTTGGATATCCTAATTAAAAATAGATCTCTCATGCTAACATAGGTTACTTGATTTTACTTCATAAACAACCACTTTCCTATGTGCTCATCTCTTTCCTTCCTATGCAGATGAAGTTCTTCCATTGTCCCACTCAGGAATAAATCTTCCCTCTCCCTTGTTCCTTGTTCCCTTTCTCTTTTCCCTTTTCCTTTATCTTTTCTTTCCTGACTTTTTCCTTATTCCCTGCCCTCTGTCACTGACAAAAAACAAGAACTCATTGCACTGAGAACTTTGGCTTTAGTGTCCTTGGATCCTACAGGCCTGGTTTTGCAATCACAATGTTGTACTGCAGCTGTCAGAACAAAGATCAGTGATTATAGAATGTCTATTTGGTGAACATCTTAATCAATTTATGATTTGAATTTGTGTTTGAACTTGTGGTTCTTAATAAATTCGGCCTAATTTGTAGTAGTCTCTTGGGCAACAAATTAGAGTCAGTGGCAAGTTCCATCCAATAATGTGAGCCTAAAATCCAATTAGATATGGGTTGTTTCAATCCTAAAGGTTTGTGCCACTATTGCACCAGCATAACTTGCAGGGAGATCATATTGGAAATCAAAGAAATAATTGGATTGTTGTTTATGTTTCACCTTCAGCAGCATACAGATGCCTTCCAGTACAATGAATGAGAGTCAGGAGTAGTGAAAACTCCAAGTAGATTACAGGTCAACTTCCCAAATTCAGTATGTGGTGAAGATGTTGTCTTCAGGAATAGCTCCTTGCATTCAGCTTGTGGAAAGAAATCAACAGCTTTGGAATTATCCTTCATGATTTGGGAGTTTCCATTATAGTCCACTGTCTAACAAATTGGTTATCTGTGACCCATTCCAGCAACTGGAGTTTTTATTTGGTGAAGAGAGATGTCAATTTGGGACTTTGTCTCTTCCATTAGTAGATGATTCCATTTAGACTTTTTTCATAAGTGTATATATTTTAAGAAGCTTCTACTGAATTAAATTATATGCAACCTCTCAGATGAACCTTAGTTTTAGACTACTCTCACCATATCTCTTCCCCTTAGGTTCAGATCCCAGCCCTCCCATTTTAATCCATCCATATATATTCTATTTCTCCTTTCGAAGGGTACTCATCCCTCTCCAGTAGATTCTTCTTCTATTCTAATGTCTGTGTTTGTAAAAACAGTAGCTTGCCTATGGAATACATAACAGCCAACATCCACATTTAAGCAAACATATACATGTCTTTTAGGGTCTGTGTTTCTTCACTTTGGTTGAGAATTTTCCTTTAGTTCCATTCAGTTACCAGAAAATTTTATGATTTCTTATAGTTTAACAGCTGTGAAACATACTGATGTTTATATATCATTTTCTTTTTCCACTTTTGTTAAAAATACATTTTCTTTTTCATATGATGTGTCCTGAAAAGTTCCTCCTCCCTCTACTACCCCCAGTTCCTTTCTTCCACTATCTTCTGGACCCACCCCCTTTCAAACCCTCCTTAGAAAGGAACAGACTGCTAAAAGATAAACATAAACTTAGAGAAATAAATAAGGTAAAACAAAAACCACACAAAATATGGAGCAGACAAATCATGAAAAGGGAAAATGTACCAAGAGAAAGGACAAGAATCAGAGAACCATTTGTTCAAATACACAGGAATTCCATCAAACTAAATGGTAACAAATACTGAAACCCTTTCCAGACTTAATGGAGAGAGACCTTGGCACATATAGCTCTAAATGGAAAACCCTCATCAAATCTCAATCCTTAGAGCTCAGAGAAATCCACAGAAGATATGGCTGAAAGAGTGTAAGAGCCAGAGGGGAAGGAGGACACCAGTAGAAGATCATCTAAATCACCAGATAAAAGGTCATGTGAACAAAAAGAGACTGAAGCAGCAAGCACAGGACTGATACAGATCAACACTAGATCCTCAAAATGTGTGTGGTAGCTTTCAGTTTAATACTACCTTTTTTTCAATTTTTACATTGATTCTCTAGTCCATTTTCATTTTCAGTTAATACCAATAAAGCATCAATGAAGAAAATAGAGTAAGTGTCTCTAATAGGATGCAGAGTCATTTTTGTATATGCTCGAGAGTTGCATAGCTGGATATTGAGGGAGATCTCATCCCAGGTTCAAGGGAATTAGCCACACTGAATCCCACAGTGGAGGCACACAGTGGGGAGCTTTGCTGAATGAGGTGTCTGGGAATTTCAAAATGACTTTTACAGAATAGTTTTGAATGCTGTCTACTACAAAAATGACCAAAGGGATTCCTACCTCCCCCAATGTATTAACCATATGAGATTTCATCCATATTAAGCACATGGCATTTATATTTTAATTTGAAAAATGTCTTCCACAATAACAGGCAAAACTAATGTTCTGACTACTGAGAAAACTTACTACAAAAAAAAAACCCATGAAGTTACCAGTTATCCAGCTTTCAGGGTTTATACTTATACGACAGTGTATTCTGATACACATACATTACATTCTAAGAGACTGTACTTTCTGCTGAACAACACAGCCAGAGTTTACAACACACATTCATGCCACTTAAAAGTATGAGACAAGTTTTTATTTGTTTAGATGTTATTTATGTGGATTTTAATGATAAAATTCATACTATACTTCATTCCAAGCAACTCCCTATACAGTTTTAGTCTCTTGGAAGCAAGAGATATTTTTATCACTATGAATTATTTTACCTATTTTATATTGTTTTATTAAGGAATAATAATGCCAATGAAAGCTTTCACTAGTGAAGAAAAGGTCAAGATACAGTGTACCACAGTAATCACAATTAGCATCATTTTATTCACACCTGTAATGCTGAAAAGTTGACAAATACCATATAGAACTGTAGCAGAAAGACTGAAAAGGGGGCAAAGAGAATGACCAAATCCAAGCAACTCTTCTGAAAAATATCCTTCTTCTCAGTCATAGGCCGGCTTGCTGCTTCTCCAAGGTTTCTGACACACTCAGGGTGTGGTTACACCACTGTATCTTGTACAGTAATAGACTGCAGAGTCCTCAGATGTCAGGCTGCTGAGCTGCACGTAGACTGTGTTGGAGGATGTGTCTGCAGCCAAGGTGGGCTTGCCCTTGAACTTCTCATTGTAGTAAATACTACCACTTAATGGAAGAATAGCTCCAATCCATTCCAGTTCCTGTCTAGGCCTGTGCTTTATCCAGCTCATATAATAGCTAATGATGGTATAGCCAGAAGCCTTGCAGGACATCTTCACTGAAACCCCAGGCTCCACCAGCTCAGCTGCAAACTGCTGCAGCTGGATCTGGGAGTGCACACCTGTGGACAGAAAGGCAGAGTCAATGTCAATGTCATCTCAGGCCCTGTCTCCTCTTCAGATTTGGATTTGTTAAGCCCCTTTTCTGCAGCTGCTGTCAGGAGGAATAGAAAGATCCAAATCCATTCTATGGTTAGCGACACTGTATTCAGGGACTTTGGAGAGGACACTGATCATATGTTGTTTTCAGAGTGTTGATATCTCTGTATTTACCACCATATGAGCAGGGTACTTCTTATATAAGAACCTAGTCCATCTGGAGAAGAACTGGAGAGGAAGGGCTGAAAAGGCACATGAGTCAGGCAGCAGGATTCTCAGGTCCAAATCCTATTCCTCTCTGAGGAAATGTGTCCCACACACTTTCTTTGAGCCCTGAACTGATGCTATGGAAGTAACTTCAGGGATGAATCTCTCAATTGATTTTTGGCCTTTGTCAGTTGTTACACTCTGGGACATGTTAACATGTTGATATACAGATAATGCTTAGTGATAATGACTATGAAGATGATGACAGTGATGATTGTGATGATGATAATGATGGAGAATTGCAAAAACAGCTAATTTTTATAGTTTTAGAGTCTTCTTTCTCATATATGCAACTAATTATATTTATATATATTATAATTAATTATAAATTATATACACACACTTACACATATATGTGTGTGTGTGCAGGTATGTATAAATATAAGAAATAAATAAAGAATTTATAATGCTTTTGGGAAAATAAATGTAATTAGAGATAACTATATTAGTGAAGACTATTCACAAAATCACAGACATTTAATGAGAATCTCATTAGCAGTTCTTATATATTTCATAGTTATAAATAACTATTTATGTAAATACATGATATTACATTAGTGAAATTCTCTAGCATAATAAAGAGAAAATAGGAGGGACAAGAGGTAACAGTAGAAATATTCACAGTATACAAAGTACACAAGAATCTATACATATGTAAAGTTGTTATTTCTATATTTCATATGGATTTTTATTCATTAAAATTTTCAATCATATATGAATATGCTACGATCCACCTCAACTCTCAGGACTCTAACTACAATCTACCACCACTAGGTCCCTGTGTTTCCCCTTGGGACAGTCCAATAAGTCCCTTTCCCAATATCCTAGCTCCTTTGTTTCATTACCTAATAACACAGTGAGTTTAATCACTGCTACCTATTTGACATTGACAGGATTATCACTAGAAATGAGTGAACCTCCAGAAGTCTTCCACAAAATCGTGGTTATATTTTGCCCATCAGTCATCAAATGCCAAAAGACTTTCTGCTTTGTGTAGGCCCTCAAGGTTTCTTCCCCATCCATGATGTATTTTTTTAATTGTTATATTAGTTTTAGTTGTGGGTTCAGGGTATATATGCACAAAAGCCAATATATTAACCCCATTGGATGACTTAAGACATTTACCTGATATTGCTAAGCTTGCTAGTAAACATCTTTACCTGACCAGTCATTTAAAGGTCTTCCATGTGGTAATGTTCACTATTTTGGTTAGTTTGTGTTGTACTGATAAATACAGCTACTGAGAGTTCATGTGTGCTCTAAGAACATTTACATCCCTGGAGATAGAATTCGATCTCCTTTGACCCCTCTGTATCTTATATCCTTTCTTTTCCCTGTTTTATGGTGGCCCTTGATATTTGGGTGAGAGACTGGAATCATTACTTATCTGTGACTGAGTTCTCTGTCAATCATTTTCAGCACTCTGACCACACATGGGGAAATTGAGTCCATTGATGTTAAGAAATATTAAGGAAAAGTGATTGTTTTCCTGATATTTTAGTTACTAGAGGTGATTCTGGTTTTATGTTAAGTTCTTTTTTTTTTTTTTTAAATTTTTTTTTTAATTTCTTTTTTTTTTTTTTGAACATGAAATGCTTTTTTATAGCGTGTTTTACAAGGGGAGGGGGTAAGAGGGTCCAGGTGGTGGAAAAGTACAAAATCTTCTTGGCCTGTGCCTTGAAACATGTCATGGTCTATATGGTACACTGCCTTGAATTATGATCTACCTGCAGTTCTTCAGAAGATATGGTACACTGCTTGAGTTATGGTCTCCCTGCTATTCTTAAGAAGACATGGTACTCTGCTTTGAGTCTATCTGCATTATGTTAAGTTCTTAATCCACTTGGACTTAAGTTTGGCATGTATGATAGATGTGGATTTATTTGCATTTTTCTTCATGCCAATATCCTATAAGATCAGCATCATTTTTCAAAAATACTGTCTTTCATTGTATATTTCTGGTTTCTTTATAAAAAAAAAAAACAAACCAGATGTCTATAGGTGTGTGGATGTACTTCTGGGTCTTTATATCAATTCCACTTAACAAGCTGCCTGTTTTTAGGTCAATATCATGCTAGGTGATTAACAATAACCCTTTAGTACAGCTTGAAATCAGGTATTGTGACATACAAAATTGTTTTAGCTATCTTTGGATTTTGTTTTTGTTATCCTGATTTGTTTGTTTTGTTTACTCTTTATGAAGTTAATGTCATCCTTTTGAGGTCTGCAATGAATTTTGTTTGAAATTTTGATGGAGATTACATTGAATCTTTAGATTGCTTTTGGCAGGACAGTAATTTTTACTATGCTAATACTTCCAATTCATAATTGCATAATATCTTTCTATCTTCTGATATCTTCTCTATTTTCTTACTTCAAAGACTTGAAATTTTGTCATACAAGTCTTTCACTTGCTTGGTTAGGCTTACATCAGGTTCTAATATTCAAGTTGTATTCATTCTACAAAGAGAGATACTGTTTTCATGGTGATAGAGAGGGCCTCTAAATTATGTCATTTCAGTTTCTGTAGTGTCCCAGGAGGAGGGCATAGATTTTAGGAACTAATGGCAGTGAGCTGTGTCAGAACTTGTGTTCATCATGTCAAGTATAATATATATATATATATATATATATATATATATATATATATATATATAATAAACTGCCTGTGGTTAGATTTCTGAGTCTGATCCAAGTTAACAAAGTCAATCTGCACAATGTTCCATTCACATCTCTTCTCATGAGTTGCTTCCCTTATTGGCACCTGCAGGGATGCCATCAAGAAACAAGTTTTCCAGCCAGGTGGTGGTGGCACACGCCTTTAATCCCAGCACTTGGGAGGCAGAGGCAGGCTGATTACTGAGTTCGAGGCCAGCCTGGTCTACAGCGTGAGTTCCAGGACAGCCAGGACTATACAGAGAAACCCTGCCTCGAAAAAACAAAAGAAACAAACAAACAAAAAAAAAGAAAGAAACAAGTTTGCCTAGAAGAAATTGCTATATGCACTTGGAGCTTAATATCAGAATATTAATTAATGAAAATACACAAATAGAGACACTCATACACACACAAACACACAATACAGACACAAACACACATACAGAGACATACACACACACTCACACACACACACAGTTTAAAGCCCATATATTTTACTTACTTGTTTCATGACACCTTAGCACTATGTGTTTTATATATGCCTTTGTCTTATTTCCTTTACTAACTCTTGACCTCTTTTTGAACTTTGAACAATTTAAACAGAGATGGGAAATATAAAGTCTAGGAATTTGTGTCTATATACAGATTTACACAAAAATGATATCAGAAGTCTAGGTTGATTTATATTTTTTATTATTTATTAGTTTATTAACTTAAAAACCTGCTCTATGGCCCCCTCCTAGTATCCCCTCATACAGTCCAGCCCCAATTGTCGCTGCCCTTCTCCTCTGAGTATGTGTGCCACGTATGGTTATATCTCCCAACCCTGGCACATAAAGTCTCTACAGCAGGTGGCACATTATCTCCCACTGAGTTCAGACAAGGCAGTCTAGCCAGTGCAAGAAACACAGGTAGATGCCATGACAACCATATTCACAAACACTCTTTAGCACACAAATAAGCACCAGGTGTGCAACTCACTGTGATACGTAATGCTGTGTCAGACTAGGTCTATGTTCTCTAAAGGCTAGCAACTCTATGCCTGACTAATGGGACTTCTTCCAGTTTTTATGAGACCAGATATTAACATATAACATTAGATCCTAACTCAGCTAGCATGTACATGCATCAACTTGATAAATGAGGTCTTTGAAAGGTCATTTAGAATTACTTTTGTCCAACTTACAAAAATTATACTTAGGTGACTATGCATTGTGAAATAAATATCTGCTGCATTCTAAAAGACTGGAACATCCAATAGACCACACAGCCAGAGTTGACAACACACCAGGAAGTCACTAAAGACTTAAGACTGTGTAAGGAGTTTTTCTTTATCCAGAGGTGCCTTGGATATTACAGATCAAATTTGTATTATACTTTATTCTAGCTATCCCAAAAAAAAGTGTTCTGGTTGATCGCAGAATCCAGAGATATTTTTTATCATACATAATCACAATTCCTCTTATTTGTTGTATTATTAAACAAAAAATATGTCAATAGAGATGGTCACTGGTTAAGAGATTAACAATGTATGGAGTACACTAGGATCACCCTAAATCAACATCACTTTATTCACAGATGTCCATTGCAAAGTGGACAAATGCAACTTAGGGCTTTAAGGAAGTGGGACAAAAAATTGGCACTAGGAGTGATTATTTTTACATAAGTCTTCAAACAACTCATCTCTGTCATCTCAGTCCCAGAGAAGCATCCTGCTCCTTCAGGGTTTCTGACACACTCAGGATGTGGTTGCAACACTGTGCCTTGCACAGTAATAGACCGCAGAGTCCTCAGATGTCAGGCTGCTGAGCTCCATGTAGGCTGTGCTGGAAGATTTGTCTGTGGTCAGCATTGCCTTGTCCTTGAACTTTTGATTGTAGTTAGTATTATCATTGTAAGGATAAATCCATCCAATCCACTCAAGGCCATGTCCAGAGCTCTGCTTTACCCAGTGTATAACATAGCCGGTAAAGGTGTAGCCAGAAGTCTTGCAGGACATCTTCACTGAGGACCCAGGTCTCACCAGCTCAGATCCAGACTGCTGCAGCTGAACCTCAGAGTGAACACCTGTGGAGGGAAAAGCAGAGTGGATATCATTGTCACTTAACTATCTGGCTCATCCTTTGGTCTGGAATTGGGAGCCCCTTACATGTAGATGCTACCACTAGAAAGAGGATGATCTGGCTCCATTCCATGGTGAAGTCCTGTGTTCTCAGTCTCTACAGAGAAGGCAGTGATCATATGTTGTTGTGGAGTGTGAACATTCCTGTATTTACCACCACAGAGTCACATGATTTACATATTCATGAGCAGGGTTCTTCTTAGATAAGGAACTTGTCATGCTCAAGAAGGTTGAAATAGAGAACACTGGTGTTAGGCAGCAGGATATTGAGGTCCAAGTACTAATCTTCTCTGACGAAATTCATCCCACACCCCTTCCATGAACAGTATGCAGATGATGGCCTAAGTCTAAAATAGATATCCAGCCTGAGAGAGTTGCTCCACTTCTGAAATGGTTATCAGATAAATTAACTGATGTTTGTAGGACAATGCTAGTGATGAGAAATTTTAAAAAAAGCTAAGTTTACAGAATTTATAGCATCATTACAATACATATAATTAACATTTGCCTTTCTAAAATGTTATATAGTAATAAATTCACCCAAATTACTAAAAGTAAATATACTTCAGAAATGCTTGTACATAAATGTTTATTGCAGCACCATCAAAATGACTAAATTATGGAAATAAATATTATTCTATCAACAGAGATTTGCCTCAAGAAGGCATGTTTATATGTATAACCCAACGGAAGTTTTTCATCAGAAAAAAATAAGAAACTTATGTCAATTTTAGGAAAATGATTGGAACTGGAGATAATTGAATTAATAAAGATCATATTAGAATCACAGACACTAAATGGGTCTCTTATTGGTAGTGCTTACATATAACACCATTATATAGATTTGTCTATACAGAATCATAATGATGTATAAGTGAAATTTTCTAGTATAATAATGTGAAAAATAGGAGGGCAGGAAAAGGAAGGGTAGAGGTTATAGGGAAAATACTCAGAAGGTACAAAATACCCTTTTAAACACCCTTTTATGAAAATGCTAAACATATATAAAACTGATATTTCTAGTTTGAAGAATTTTTTTTTATTCTTTTGAATTTTCATTCATAAATAAAACATCTAGGATTAACTACCCCTTCTATGAAACTCTCATTTCCCTTGGGAGTTTGCACTATGACTCTCTCACAAAATCTGCCCATTTTCGTTCATTAACTAATAATATGGTGAGTCTAATGAGTGGTATTTATATACACATGGGTGGGGTCATTCACAAGTACATAGGGAACCTACAGAAAAAATATTCACAGAAGTAGCCAAACTTTCCTCATTAGTCATCAAGTGCTAATAGGCCCTCAGCTTGAGATGGGCCCTCAGACATTCCTTCCCAGCCATGTTGTGATATTTTTTAATTGTTATGTTTAGAACACAAATGTACCAAGGAGTATGCATGATCCTCAGAAAACAACTCAGGACAATCAATTGTTCTAATGTACCTTGTGGGTCCAAGGGATCAATTTTTTATTTTTGAGGTGACAAGAAGACATTTTTTATCTACGTTGTCTTTTACAAACTGTTAGGCTATAACTTTGACTGGATTGATTTGTTCAGGTCTTGTGCTAGTATTTAAATCTGCTGACACTTCATGTAACTCTGGCAAATCCTGAGATTCTATGTCATGTCTATCCACCTCACTTCGGATCTTATGTTCTTTCCAAATCTTTTTTGTGATTGTCTTTGGGTTTGGGGTAGAACATTTGTATAAATGACTCATCTGTGATTGAGTATTCAGGCATTCATTCACTGAGCTAGACCAGCCATGGGTATCTATCAATCAGTGCATACTTCACTCAGAAGCCTCTGTGATCACATATGAGAGCAGCAATAATCTACTACATATAAACATATGTTATAAGGCAGTTGGTCAATCTGGCCAATAACAATGGAACTAGGGTCTACTAGGCGTATGCTATCTACTTCCACTGGCTTTCTCCTTGTTTACCTGGGATGAAGTCTTTCCTATGGAGTAGGCCATACATCCAGTTAGAAAGAAGTTGGTAACTCCACAGCAGTCTGGTACTACTGAGTACATCCTACCTGCAGGCTGATATTGTAAACTGCTAAATCAGGTACTGTATAAAAATCACTGAGGCCTTTGTGTTGCTTCCAAGCAGAATGACACTGTTCTGCACTAGGAAATCTAAGCAGCAGTTAGACTAATCTGGTTATTTGAAGGTTTGTTTCTTTATACCTATACCTATACCATAATCCTTAGCTATGTGCAGATTAAAAAAAATATAATGTCCCAATTAGAACTTAGTCAGATGATTATAACCAAGAATGCAAATGAGAAAAAATAAGACATGTTGTGGAAAAGGTTAATCATAACTCTTTGTTGATGTGAGTACTAAACTAGTGTAGTGTACTAAATTTGAGATTCTGTTTGAAAATGTCACCAAAAAGAGTAAATAAAATATGCTGTGTCCCAGCTCTATCTGTCCTAAGCATGTACTCAAATGAATCTATATTATTACAGAGACATTTATATCTCCGTGTTTATTGTTGCTCCATTCAAAGCAGCTGGGTAATGGAATTCATATAAATTTATAGCAAAGGACAAATAGAAACTGACAATGTATGGGGTATAGACTACAAATTATTCTTCAGTGTAAAAAACACAAACTATGAAGTGTATACATATATGGAGGAACCTGGAAAAAAATTGTTCAATGAGGTCCCACAGGTCCATAGAAGCAAATGCTTCATGTTTTCATTTAGAATCATGGTTCCATGATATGAATATTTTTTACTGTGTGCTTAATATGTAAAGTTCAAGAGGCTACAAATGGGTCATTGTGGTCTGAAAAATTAAAGGATACGATATAGAAAAATAGAGACAAAATGAAAGCAGAGGTGTCAGATAGATTAGCCATGATACTTCAAACATGAAATGGTGGTGGGAAATGGAGAATAAGACGTTGGTGCAGCATAAACCAAATTAAAGTGTGATAAGAGAGGTATCGTACCTCTCTTAAACCTAGGAATTTAGGTTTCTCCAACAGAGCATTACTGGGTTTATTAACCACATATAGTGATGGATGCATGGCTTGCAGTAGAAGGACAACACAAAAGAAACACAACGGGTTTTGTAGATTTTTATTCTCATTGTTTTTGGGCATTAATTTTCTTGTTTTTGTTTTATATATATATATATATATATATATATATATATATATATATATATGTATACAGTTGCATTTTTATGGGTTTGTGTGTGTGTGTGTCTTCCATTTTAATTCATTTTACTCCTTCTTATGTGTTTTTTCTTTCTATAGAAAAAATTAAAGGGTGTGTACTTGGATGAGTGGTGCAGGTTCTGTCATAAGTTTAGAAAAAATATCAGTGTTCAACTATATTGTATAATTTTTAATATTTATTTTTCATTACTTTTATTTTTTTACAATCCACTCATAGCCTCCCACCAGGTCCACCTACCCACAGTTCCTCACCCCATTCATCCTCCCCCCTGTCTTCATGAGGATGCCCCCACACAATGCCTCCCCACTCCAGGGGCTTCAAGCATCTCAAGGGTTAGGTACATCTTCTCCAATTGAGGTCAGATCAGGCAGTCCTCTGCTGTGTATGTGTTGGAGTCTCAGACCAGCCTGTGTGTTCTACCTGGTTGGTGGCTCAGTGTTTGAGAGATCTGAAGGGTCCGATTTTATACATATGAAAAAACAAGAAAATATAAATCTTTGAAGTGTTTAACTCAGAATCTTAACAGTGTTCAAACAATAGAAACTTTAAATACCAATCACAATAGGTACATGTAGGTTAAGAAAGAAAACTACAGAGGATACAGCGGGTCCCCTACACTCTCTCTGCTGGGGGTTCTTGGTCCCATTGTGCCCCCTACTGGTACTGAACTCAACTGCAGGTAGAATTCCCATCACTTACAATGAAGTTGCACAGTCTGATTTCAGCAGTAACATATCTCTGTAACTAGTGTGCTTGAAGGACACAGATGAAGGGAGAAATGGCTCTTATTTATATGAAGATGATGACTGATATCGCACTCTCTCAATTAAAGTTGTTACTACATAGTTGCAGTTGAATCTAGCTCTAGTAGTTCTCATTTTTAATAAAGTATAAACAGGAGAGATCATCTACATGTAGAGGGGCTTGGGGCTACTCCCCCATGTGACTTGTTGGTAGCCAATTCCTAGCAGAAAGCGGCTATCATCTTTGCAGCCATCTCAGGCCATATACCCTGACAAGAGACTAGTTTTCAACAGCCTACAGCAGCTGAGCACACTCTGATGAACATCTTGTGTTTTTCTCACATATCTTGTTTTGTTGTTTAATCCCCAGCTGCAAGGTGCAGGTGGTAAAGTGTCTTCAGCTGCATTCCCCTGCTTGTGCTTATATATACCTATGATTTCCTTTCAATAAACAGGACTTGAACAGACTCTCTGTCTTGTCTTCATTCTTTGCATCACTTGCCCCTCAATCACCACTCTCTCTTTTGCTAGACCATGACCCGCAGACCAGAGCAGCAGCTCGGGCCGGGACATTGACTGATGTCTACAACTCTGTTGGGGGTCTGTGGCTGTGTGACAAGGGCCTGGTGTCAAGAACAGTCAAAGCTCCTACAATCTTTTCTGTCTACAGGGCTTTAAGCTCAGTTTAGTCTTACCAGGCTACCTTTCATGGCCCAATGCCCTGAAGGGAGTAATTCTCACCAGATCTAAAGATATACAAGACTCTGAATATCGTGTGTGTATGTGTGTGTGTGTGTGTGTGTGTGTGTGTGTGTGTGTGTGTTTCATTTGAAAGTCCAGATAGCTCTTGGGCCAGTGCACACATGCGACCCATTGGGAGCCAAAGCAGTATAGTCTAAACTCACCATTAAATTTAGGATAGCCAAAAATTCTCAACAACAAAAGAACTTCTGGGGGAATCACAATGCCAGACCTCAAGCTGCATTACAGAGTAATCATAATAGAAACC